CACCTCCCAGAGCACCACGGAAGGGGAGGAGGTCTCATGGTTCCAGCCTCCCTGGCCAGGAGCATGGAAAGGATGGGTGCTGGGGACAGCAACACTTTGCCCCCAGAACACCTACAGTGGGCATTCTGGGGGTAGAATATGGGCGTGGCTGTGCCTGGTGGTTTGAGAAGGCAAAGCCTTCCCCTGCCTAAGCCACCAGACACCTATGGATGGCGCTTTTCAAAAACTATTTCCCCAATATGCAAATTGAAATGGAATTGCACTGTTCAGATAAGTTTTACTACATTAGGACCATAGAAATATAGTAGTTCTTATATCCTTCACAACACAATTAGTCAGAAATGGTAGTGCTAGCCTTACTTACTAGCTACTTCATACTGTATATGTGGGAGCTAACTAGGAGGAGCTCTTACTTTAGGTCAGGGGCTTTCATATATTTTTCTCCATGGTGTGCTGGATAGTGGCCATTATCATAACAAGTTTTCCATCGCCTAGCTTCACATGAGGAAGTTTCTCCCCACTACTGAAAATCTGCCTGTAATCAGGTGTACTCATCACGCATTCATGCTCATGTGACCAGGTGCAAAATTGCAGGGGTTTTCCATTTTCTATGACCTCTGGCTGAGACGCGTATCGTCCAAACCCCTCCTTGGTAAGGTGCAGTCCAAAGTCCTACAGAATCCACATAGCCTCTAGGCCCCACCATTTCCTGACTTCTCCCATTTCTTGTGGCTTCAGTGCTTCAGCCTGAGCCCACACAAGTAAACTACAATTTTATAGCCCGCCAGACCAAGCCTCACCAGCTTGGGCTAGATGGCCAGGGTCTGCTGACCATGGGTGTTTTATTGCAGTGTATAGGTACCTTTTGTCTGACAGGTAACTAACTAATTACCACTCAGATAGAATGAATAGTTCAACTAGCCTTTAACCCTCTCTCAACCCTGAGGGGGTTTCCCATTTCCTTTGTGGAAACTATAGGGCTACGTCTACACTAGTAGCTTCTTGCACAAGAACTCTTTTGCAGAAGAGTTCTTGTGCAAAAACTCTTCCACAAGAGAGCGTCTACACTGGCATGTGTTTTTGTGCAAGAGATGTGTTTTTGCGCAAGAGCATCCATGCCACTGTAGACTCTCTCTTCCACAAGAAAGCTTTGATGGCCATTTTCACCATAGGGACTTCTTGCGCAAGAAATTCACGTTGCCTGTCTACACTGCTCTCTTGTGGAAGAGCTCTTGTGCAAGAGGGCTTATTCCTCATGGGGAGAGGAATAACTCTTCTGGAAGAAGCCTTGTTTTACAATGCGCTATTGTAAATTTACTTCTGGAAGAACGCTCATGCAGTGTAGACAGCCAGCAAGTTTTTGTGGAAGAACGGCTGTTCTTCCGCAAGAAGCTGCCAGTGTAGACATACCTTAGTTGTATGAAGTTGTCCCTTGTAGAGAACAGAAATGAGATTGGACTCCCTTGGGATAAGTATTGTTTGAGTATAGTTAGATAGTTTCTGAGCTAAAGTGCTTACTTTCCAAGTGGAGAAGACAAACACAGAGAAGGGGAACTGTTTTGGTTGCTCCCTTCTGCCATGTGATCCATACCTTTCTGTGCCTTTTGCACATCTCGAGTTCACCATAGCTCCCTTTTACTGAGTACGTACACCTGTCAATATCTCAATTGGAGAAAAACATTTGGATGCACCATAGGCCCCACGCTTAGGTGCATATATTTATGTACTTTAACCACAGGGATTGTCTTGGAGCTCCAGAGAACAATATAGCTCCCCTGCATATGTATATATATATCCCATATTGGAGCCTCTAACTGATGAAGTAACTTACTGGCAACAGGTCTCCTAGGCTCTAATTTTGGTAGGAACAGTACTTCAAAGGGGCTTTGCAGCATGGAGCAGGGGATCAGCTGGAGCTCCAGATGATCCCGGACTCCATTGCAGCACAAACCCACTGAAATACCACCATAGCATTTCAAAGGGGAGGTGCTGTTCCGACACTTCAAAGGGGCTTTGCAACAGTGGAATTGGGGATCAGCTGGATTCACTGTTAAGTGATTATGCTACAGTCAAAGATGATATTTATAAAGAAAAGCTTGTTCATAGAGCACCTCATTTGATAGTTACACTGGGTATTTAGTGCCAAATGTATTTAGATTTCTCAAGCAGCTGTTTATGGCAGTTGTGTTACAGAAGATTGCATGTCCAAAGCAAAATAGTATGTCACCTTGGTTTCTTCGCTTGTCACTTTTGACATTTTATTTAGACTTTAAGGGTGGTTATCTGCAGCTGTGATCTGTCTCTTCATGTCAGACACACTGAAGAACAAGCCTCCAAATGCTTAGCTGAGACAGAAATTCAATTTGCCCAGTTTTTAATCTGTGCAGAACTTGTGGGGTTGTGAGTTCCATTTAGAAGATGCCGCTGAAGCCCAACCCCCAACACAGGGAAGGGAAGAGTGTGTGCACCCCAGCATCCCTGGAGCAGCAGGGAGGGAAGAAGATGCACAGCCCCAAACCTCACGCCCCCAGGAGTGGTGGGGAGGGAAGAGGCCATATTGCCCGAGCTGACCTAAGCCTCCCTGGAAGCAGAAGGGAGGGATGAGGACCCACAGCCCAAGCTGGTCCAGGCCTCCTCAGCCCCAGGAGCAATGGGGAGGAAGGAGGCCACATGCACGCCCTCCCCCGCCACCAAGGGGAAGGGAAAAGTGCGCATGCTCCAGCATCCCCAGAGCAGTGGGAAGGGAAGAGGATGCACAGCCCCAATCCTCCCACCCCAGGAGCAGTGGTGAGGGAGGAGGCCATGTGGCTCCAGACTTCCCAGCCCCAGAACAGTGGAAACGGAAGCGGCCATGTGGCCTGAGCCAGCCTAAGCCTTCCTGCCCCCAGAAACAGCAGGGAGGGAGGAGGCTACGTGTACGTCTACTGTCGCAGCAGGACTGGTAATGTTAGTAGTGATAAAAACAAGTTGAGGAGTGCAAAAAAATCCTTTAATACTATTAATGCTACTCCCTGGGAACATGCATTTAAATATGTATTTAACTGCATATTCCTGTACTATTTTTCCAGAAGACCTCTGCCTCATTATAGGAAGTCCCCAAATTATAAACAGGTTGTGTTCCAAAAGTTAATTTGTAAGTTGGTTGTTTGGAACTCAGAATACATTTTCACGTGCACACAATGTTATAAATGCTAGTTAGGTTCCCAGGCAAGCCCACAAAAACCTATTTAACCTTAATGTAGCTAAAATACTGTTATATTTCAATGAAAAATAGTATAATTTTTTTAACCTTGAATGCTGGTACTTGAGGAAAGACAGGTTTAATTAGAGGAGGGTGAGAAGGTAGGTGGAGATTCTGAAGGGGATTTCTGAGCATTCCCCAGACACCATCTCCCACCTCCCTCAGCCTCACACAGGGTCTGTGTCATCTCCTGCTGCCAGTCCCATACCAAGCTACCCCAGCCCACGTGGGCTGCACCCTCCAGTAAGTGGTGCAAGTGCAGGACAGAGGACTCCAAAGGAGCAGCGAGCAGCTGTCAGTTGGCAACTGAAGAGAAGTGACATTTTCCTCTCACAGCACCACTTCTCTCCAGCTGCTGGCTGTGTTACTGCCCTCTGCTCCTCTCAAATCCTCCGATCAGCTCTTGTGCTGCTCACCACCGCCTGCTCCGCTGAGGCTCCAGATGAGCTTTTGTTTGTATGTGTGGATGTTTGTAAGGCAGATGTTTGTAATTCCAAGTATGCCTGGATTCAGGCCACCCCCACTTCCTTTTCTGCACTTGAGGTGTCATAAGTGAATCAAAACATTGCTAGAAAACAAATAGACAAGTGAACTCAAACTTTCATAAGCACCTCAAAATTTGTGTGACGCTACGTCTACACTGCAGGCTTATTGCGCAAGAACTTTTTGTGGAAGAGATCTTCCGCAAAAAATTCTTGAGCAAGAGCGTGTCCTCTGCCATGTGCT